CTTCCTGATAACATAGTGCAAGCTGAATCCTTGGGTTCCTTTAAATCAGAGCTAGATAAGATTTTAACAACTCTGAGCTATGAGTTAAATTCTCCCCAAGCGAGCTCGATGGGCCGAATGGCCTCCTCTCGTTTGTATAGTTCTTATATTCTTATGTTCTTATGTTTAGTGTTTCTCCATCCAAAAGCACTTATATCGCCAGTGCACTTAAACTCCACGCTTAAGTCAATGGGAGAATATGCTTTGACATAAGTGCACGGAGAATCGACCCTTAAATGCATAAATATAATGCAATGTAAAGCAAATATCTATTGCTGTAAATGTTACAATGACGGGAAGTGAATGATACAATTTATAATAATAATTTAAAATACAGCAAAAACAACTTTATAAGCCACTGCCAGCAATTTATTGTTTTGTTTCACTTACATATAATTCTTATTATTGTTTTCTTTTATTAACAAAACCCTCGATTACTTCCCATCAATCCATCATTGTACAGAAAAAAATATTTCCCAACATCAAAATAACAAAATTGAAATTTTAAAGCATCTGTCTAGCACGTTTTATCATTTTGCTTGAAACATTTGACTTCCAAAAACACCTTTACAAAGACAAAGGGGATTCAAGGAGGATTTTTGCAACATCAATTCATAATTATACACAAATAAATAAATACCTATGCCATTTTTTACTTTCTATCTACTGACAGTTTTATTTTCAAACATTACCCTGATCCAAATGCTTCTAGATAGAAAACTATCGGTCGGTTTAGTATTTATGATGGTGAAATCACCTCAGATCACAACAGATTCTCCTAATATATTAAGGTACTACGAGACAGTTGTATACTCAATACTAATGAAAGTCATCTTCTAAAGGTAGCTAACATTACATGGTTAGACTGCATTTTGCTAATTAATCAGTAGTGTCTCAGAAGTAGTATGTTCTGTCATCAATGTCCTGGTTGTTACTGCATAGTACAGCAATATTGCAGCATTATAATACATAACTGCACAATACAGCTTAAACAGTAGCTGAAGATCTTCCTAAATTTCCTTTACTTTCACTTATTTCACGTATCATCTAATTATTCACATAATTAAATTTTTGTGCCAGCTCAGAAAATCTGTTCTTCATTTATCTGTAAACTCGACTGTATAGTCTAAACCAGTGAAGAATCTAGTTATAGATATATTTGATTTTAACACATGCCATTAAAAATAACTGCACAATAAATAACAGAACAAAACTAAAACAATACAAAAAAAATCTAAACACATTTGAAACATCATAATAACTGTCATACTGTATATTGCCAAAAGTATTGGGACACCCCACCAAATCATTGAATTCAGGTGTTCCAATCACTTCCATAGCCACAGGTGTATAAAATCAAGCACCTACAGTAGGCATGCAGACTGCTTCTACAAACATTTGCAAAAGAATAGGTCGCTCTCAGGAGCTCAGTGAATTCAAGCGTGGTACCATGATAGGATGCCACTTGTGCAATAAGTCCATTCATGAAATTTCCTCTCTACTAAATATTCCACAGTCAACTACTAGTGGTATTACAGCAAAGTGGAAGCAATTGGGAAAAACAGCAACTCAGCCACAAAGTGGTAGGTCATGTAAAATCACAGAGTGGGGACAATGCATGCTGAGGCAGTCAGTGCGCAGAAGTCACCAACTGTCTGCAGAGTCAATAGCTACAGACTTCCAAACATTGTGTGGCCTTCAGATTAGCTCAAGAACATTGCGTAGAGAACTTCATGGAATGGGTTTCCATGGCCAAGCAGCTGCATCCAAGCCTTATATCACCAAGTGCAATGCAAAGCGTCAGGGGCAGCGTGTGGCTCAGTGGGCTAAGCTGTGTGCCTGTAATCATGGCTGCCCTTCACAGACAGCTTGCTCTACAAAGAGCAAGTTGAGGGAGGTGTAAAAAGAATTTCCCCACTGGGATTAATAAAAAAGTGTCAATTATTATTATTATGTGTCAAGTGTCAGTGGTGTATAGCACACCGCCACTGGACTCTAGAGCAGTGGAAACATATTCGCTGGAGTGACGAATCACGCTTCCCTGTCTGGCAATTCAATGGACACTAGTCTGGGTTTGGCGGTTACCAGGAGAACGGTACTTGCCTGACTGCATTGTGCCAAGTGAAAAGTTTGGTGGCGGGGGGATTATGGTGTGGGGGTGTTTTTCAGGGCCCTTTGTTCTGGTTAAGGGAACTTTTAATGCTGCAGCATTTGAAGCCATTTTGGACAATTTCATGCTCCCAACTTCTTGGGGACAGTTTGGGGATGACCCCTTCCTGTTCCAACATGACTGCGCACCAGTGCACAAAGCAAGAGGGGAGACTACAAGCCAGGCCTTCTCATCCAACATTAGTGCCTGACCTCACAAATGCTCTTTTGGAAGAATGGTCAAAAATTCCCATAAACACACTACTAAACCTTGTGGACAGGTTTACCAAAAGAGTTGAAGCTGTTATAGCTGCAAAGTGTTGGCCAACTCGGTATTAAAGCCTATGTATTAAGAATGGAATGTCATAAAAGTTCATATGTGTGAAAAGGCAGGTGTCCCAATACTTTTGGCAATATATATGAATCTTATATGACATATTCATAGTGTATATTGGAGCATTTCAGTGCTGACTTGTACCATTTTTCTTTTGAAAATGTTATTACTCTTTTCTCCCATTTTAATCTCTCAAATTGTATAGTTCTTATTCAATACATAAATGAAAAGCAATAAATTGTTTAAAAACCCTGAGCAATTCTACACAGGTAGGTGGAGGGGAAAAAAAGAGCTGCACAGAATCTCTAACAATTAACAGAATCAGATCTTTGATTACTTAATATGATTGTATACTGCATGTTATATTAACCCTGGGGAACCCAGACCACCTTATCATTATAGGAAAAATATTGGATAAAATGATCATACACACCCAGTGAACTCAAAAACAGGTATTTTGTAAATATAACCCTTTCCCAGTCCATGTTATGAATGTGTCATATACGACCCGCTGGACTGTTCATGCTGTTCCAACCTGTTAATTTCACGTATGAAATTAGGACAGAAAAGAAGGAAAAACCAAATCTTTGCTATATTCTCATTTTCAAAATGCATTTATTGAGTTTTCCTTTTCATCATTCACCATGTGCTGGCAATAAAACACATGCTTCAAACATGCCAACCCATCAAGAAACAGGTCAAGTGAACAGACCTGCAAAAAGGTGTACTACACACAGAACGTTTACTTGTGGTGGGTTGTAAGGTCTGGTGCACCACCTGTATTTCCTCTGTTTTTGTTTGAGGCTGATGTTGTGCACATGGAACATGATCATCACAGTTGCCAGAAAAGTTTCAAAACATCCAAATCCTAGCTGTACATGTTCTATAGCATCTAAACATTATAACTGATGATGCAAAATTTCTGCCATTTAGCTATTCACAGCTTGACAGGTGAATCTTTGCAGCATGTACAGAAACAACCTCAAAACGAGTTGGGGGCCATATTTATTGTGGAAAAAAATCTGGTTAATTCAGTCAGTAATCACTAAATGTCACTGTTACTGGGTACAAGTACAATGGTACAATGGGCTGTAAAGCAAAAAAAAAAAATCTTAACTTTGATGAGTGGGTTGAATGTAAGGCAGAAATAAAAGGAAGGGTCGTATATGACACCGTGGGTTCTCCAGGGTTAATAAATAAACTACAAATAAATGGTATAAAACACATCATAAATTAATATTACATTTCTGGTAAACACTTTCCTAAACACTTACATTGTAAGTCTGGGACCGTTTCCGAAATAATCTCCGGAACCAGACCCAATACAGGAATATCATGAAGATCCAGTAACAGATATAGGCAACAGATCCATATATCAAGAACTTGATCTCCATTTGCTTCTCCTCTGATTTCCAGTTCTGGGTGGTCTCGCGGTATATGCTGTACCCGAGCCCGCTCAACAAAATGGCCGCCCACAATGAAAGAGGAATAAGTGGGACATAATTGCCCACTATCTTACGTCTGCCAGAGGTGCCCCAGGTGCTCTTGTTCATAGTGAAGATGGCAAAATACTTAGCAGGGAGAAGGCTGGTCATGTACAGCACAGAATACAATGACATGAAGATCATAACTACACTCCTCCGGAGGAAACAGGCATAGGCAGCTTTGACTAGGCCAATGATCTGAATGCAGCAGAGGACCCAAAGGATGTTCCAAAGTGTCCCAGTCCAGAACAGCTTAATAACAGTCCCAGTGACAAAGAATGGAAAGACTCCAGACACAATAGATTCATAGGTCATCCATAGGCTGTGTTTATGCCACCACATTGCATTATACAGCCACTCACGGAAGTAAGACTTGGTCCATCTGGTCTGCTGGTTCAGCCATCGCAAAAATTGGGCTGGAGTCTCTGTGTAACACTTGGATCGAGCCGTGTACCTAAAAGAGTGAGGCCAATTAAAAAGATAACGTGAGGCAGAAGCAGATACAGTATCTCTCTTTTGAGTGCCAGATGTCATTTTTATTCCTAATTCTCCACATGAGGCTTCAGACTTTTCCTAAGGTAATTAATAGTGGGTCAATGCACGTTGAAAGGAACTCACTTTGTGGCATAGCCCAGGCTCAGCATACGATTTGTGAGGTGTCGATCATCCCCAAAGGTACAGTGTGTGCCCAGGAACTTCTGGTTGTACCAGGACTCCAGAAACTCCTGAAGGAGGTCGTTTCGATAGAGACCTGACCTCAGATAATGAAAGGGAAAAGATAAAAAAAAAAAACAGAATAAAGCGCATTTAGAATGATATTGTACAAAAATATTGACATTCCCTTCAGCTGTGAACTATTAGGGTGAATCACTCACCTAGGGGACCGCTGATGCAGGACACACAGTTGAAGAAAGACTGGCAGGATCTCTCAACATTAAAGGCCATCCAGTATCTGAGACTGCTCATGAAACTAATGTAGGAGTCTTTCAAATTGAGGATCATCACATCACCCCCAACTGCTCCATATTTTTCATTGCTCTCCAACACCTTGCACAGTTCCACTGTAGCTAATGGGTCTAATTTGGTGTCTGAATCACACACCTGTGCAGAATAAAACAGAAGGTTTTAGTTAACAACATTATTAGTGATAATTAGCAATTGTACTAGAGTATTAATATAGCAGCCATTTAGATTAATCTAAAACAGGCTGTGATTGAGTGATTAACACTCCTCGGTAATTATCAAGTTCATGTACAGGAAGAATTAAGGCAAAGTTTAATTTGTGTTCAGACATTTCAGTTAAACACCAATGAGGCCCACATTTTTATAATATAATATTTTTACCTCTTTTATTGTCATAAATTTTAGGGAGTGAGGGTTCTCAAAAATACCAATCTATCACATTGGCTTTGATGTAATAATCACTTGAAGTGGAATGTTGTGAAATGAATCAGAATTGTCAACTTTTATTTAGGCTGAAATTCAAACTCCCCACTTACCTGGACGTAATCCACTGATGTCCCCAATGCTTTGAAGGCCGTGTACATCACTTCCCTCTTGCCGCCCCACTTTTGCATTATGCACACACACCTTTTGCTATTGATCAAATCTTCTACCACATTTCTCTGAGGATCTTCCCCTCTAATTTCCATGCCAGCATCCCCTGCTGGTTCACCGTTTGTCTGTTTGTGGGGGTCCCAAGTGTGATAATTGTTGTCCCACACATAGCAGGCAGGATTCTCATCAGCAAACACCTCCCTGAACATCTCCATCATGTAGCGGTCATCTTCTGTGTTGCCATCCACGACCATGATGATCTTCAGGAGTTCAGGTGGATACTTAATACTACGTATGGAATTAAGACACTCTTTCAGATAGACAGGGTCTTCCTGGTAGGCGGAGATAGTGAGTCCAATTGATTTCCTGTGACTACAGGGTTCATGCCGTGCATTCATACGTCGGTGCTCCACAAAGGCAAAAACACTCTGGAGGAGGACATGGAAGGCCAGGAAGAGACCATAGAATCCAAAAGAGACAATGTTGAACAAAGAACTGGCCAGCTTGAAGCCCTTGACATAAGCCCACACCATCACTGCCAGAACCAGCATGGCAAAAAGGTGGGTGATCACAATCCGGACCACAGTACCGGTTTTCTGTAGCACGGGTTTAAGTTGCATCTCTCTGTTAAAGAATTCAGAACAATGTCAGAGTTTATTAAGTGTTAAAGGACTTTGTATATGGTTAGATGACCAGACAAACTGTAAAATCCAAAAAATGGGTAGCAGGGTAGAACAAATGGAATAAAATGAGGATAATAGGATTTTGCAGAGCTGCTAGGTTGATTCCTTAATGTTTGTCTAAGTCAGTGTTGGCCAATCTTATCCGCAAAGGGTCAGTACAGTATGTATGCAGGTTTTTGGGATAACCTGTAAGTCAGCTGTTCAAACCCAGGTGTGAGGACTCTTCAGTCAATCAGTTCTCTAATTAGTAATCTAATTAGGGAGTTGCAACAAAAAAACGCATACACACCAGCCATTTGCGGATAAGATTGGCCACCCCTGGTCTAAGTGAATAAGTATTAAATTTCTACCAATGAACTAACAAAACAGTACTTATAAATAAATGTGAATGCAATAATATAGCAATTACTACTATAAAATTTGATGATGATGGTGATGATGCTTATTATTATTATTATACACCTTTTTCATCCTGTTTCTGTTAATTTACACATTAAAAATTTACAGTAATAATTTTAATAATAATAATAATAGTGATAAATTTACAGTGGTGCCTGTGATCAGAAGATCGCCGGTTAGAGCCTCGAAGGAACAGTCACATGTCCGTGGGCCCTTGAGCAAGGCCCTTAACCCCCAGCTTCAGGGGCACCGCACGTGAGCTGATGCTGCACTGTGACACCCAAGTTATAGAGAGCAAACCACTTTTCCATTGGACGTTATATACTAGAAGTGCAAGGCCTCTCAAATAAAATTAATATTTTGTTTTGAAAGCAGTAATCATTAACTGACGTGTGTGACGTCAGAGTGCACTCATCAGGTACACAGCATGCTAACAGCCATGGGCAATAGGTCAGTAGGTCCGATCTCTCGGGGCTATAGCCACGTGTATTTTACCCCCTGATCTTCCTTCAAAAAAAAAAAAGTCAAGTTCCAGGTAAACTTGACAATAGCCCCTGATTTTTTTCAGTAGTTAGAAAGGCCCCTGCTAATGATATTACTTTCATTACATTAAAAATACTTTCATTACATTTTTGGGGGGTTCTGTAAATGAAATAGTTTAGTTTAAAAGAATGCATTTCTGCTACATGCACCAAATGCACTTGAATTAAAATACCATCAAATATTCAGTTGCATGTGGCTAAAACAACTCCAATTATAGTGCAGTTCAAAATAATGAGAACTAAACTACTCTAATAGATGAGCAGACACTTAATTATTCCTAAAGTGTATTGTTACACCATCCTTATAAAACCTGAAACAGCTCAAAATGTCATGCCTGAAAAGGATTGTGTGGTCACCTTAGATAAATGAAGTACCAACGTGGTTAAATTGGTGAAATAGGGCTATTTTTGTTACTGGCTTAATGTTGTGTGCTTACCTGCCATTGAGAAATATTGTGAATTTTTACTGAAAGTTAGATTCTGATTCACTTAATTCCTGATGATTTGAAAAGTCAGAACATGAACCCAAAAGAGAGATATGAAGAATAAGTTATTTGTGATGCACCGCTGGCTTGAGCAATTTCATTGATTATTGTGGTTCCTTTCTGCCGGCCTACACATTGGCTAGGTCTCACCTATATTGCCTAGTCACCTTGTGTCGTTGAACGTTCATAGTGAAATAAACGCACGAAAAATAAATTGCCGGCAACACATAAACATTGAATAGATGTCATTACAGTTGTTATGATAAAATAAGCTTTCCAATTTTACTAATTTTTCATCTTCATTTTGCTTACATACATAAGCATACCGATTATATTTATGAAATTGCGAAGCAGATTTAATTAGTTGAAATATTTTACGATCTTCAGCGGTAATGGAGTATCAAGTCCACCTGACATCCTGACTCCCTTTATTTCCATTGTCGTTGGTATATAAATATATGAAATTATCGTGTGTTAGTACTTCGATATATAACAGGCTAATTAGTTAGAGACAGTTTCTGTACTAATGTAAAATGATATTAAGAGATATTTAAAACACATATTTTAACTAAGCAATTAGACGGTAACTATATCTACATGCCACCAATACTACACCAGAAGTAAAATACGTCTTTTTTTACCTTGTGTTTGTAAGGTCAGATCCCAGATCTCCGTTCACCCTGTCTTCTTTTTATTTTATTAGTACTGACACCCCCCGCATTCTTGGTCGGTTTACTTATAACTATAGATACGCCTACCTCGCAAGGATGATGTGGACAGTTCCACAAACTTTCACACACGTACTCCTAGAAAAAGTTCAAGTCTTCATTCCTTTCATATTTTACTAAATCTTCATTGTATTTGTTGTAACTTTAGTTGTTGTTCCCCTTGATTTTTATGATTTTTAATTTAGTTATACAGTAATATACTGTTCTCTGTTTTGGCATCATTTATGTATGGTTCTGGATTAAGCCCATCAGTAACCCAAATGAAATTTATTTTGAATTGGTTTTAATTTCTCGTTAGATGCTTCATTAAAAAACCATTTACACTATTGATTTGTATCGTGGGGGCGACATGGTGATGCAGTGGTTAGCACTGTTGACTCACACCTCTGGGACCTGGGTTCAAGTCTCCCCCTCGGTTACACGTGTGTGGAGTTTGCATGTTCTTCCCGTGTAGTCGTAGGGTTTTCTCCGGGTACTCCGGTTTCCCCCCACAGTCCAAAGACACGCTGAGGTTAATTGGCTAAATTGTCCATAGGTGTGAATGGTGTTTGAGTGTGCCCTGCGATGGGCTGGCCCCCTGTCCAGGGTTGTTCCCTGCCTCGTGCCCATTGCTTCCGGGATAGGCTCCGGACCCCCCGCGACCCAGTAGGATAAGCAGGTTGGAAAATGGATGGATTTGTATCCTTGAATTTCGGAGTAATTTTACAATAATTGGCATTATGAATCGTGGATTTATTATATGTACAAACTCATGCACTTCCCGCTGTAATTCTTAATTCAGACTAATTTCATTTAGTTCGGTTCCGTTTAATACTACATGAAAACATGTTTTTCTTTATTGCAATCTTTATTACTTTATTACTTAATGATAAATTATTTCTCTTGTGATATTAAATTTACACTGCATTAAATGATCACACAACGATCATACACTGCACTGGATACGGGCTTAACGAAGATAAACATGGTTAAACATTACTATATTAATTAAACAGAATATACTACCGGAGTACTAAATAGTGCGCATTTTTCCGTTTCGCCATCAACAAAACACATTTCCCCTGTATTTTTGCATTTCTGATATTATTGCACCCCAAACCCTAACAAGAACAAACGGTTTTAAAGTGGATAGATGGATGGATGGATCTCTTTGCCCCCCTGGCGGTACCACTAATATACATTTTAATAGAAGAGAGGCACAGAAATACAAAATACTTCTGACAGCAGCAATGTCATTTCGGCAGAAAAGAACATAAGATGTAGTAACCACGCTGAGAGAGTTTCACACATTTCCTCAGTTTACCTGTTTCTTCCATTGCATAGTGGCCTGTGAGAAACTGGTGTCACATCCAGGGTGTATCTTGCCTTTGTATGCCAGGATAACCTTACCAGTGTAACCCTGTTTAGGTAAGCGGATATTGAGGATAGATGGAGTTCCATTTGCTTGTGATGCCAAGGATACATATTGTTTAGATATTATTACACATTCTATGAATAGTTATAACTGCTTCAATACAACGGATCAAAGTTGCAGGGCAGTGGATCAATACATGGCTAAAGATTTCACTTGGGGTGGGGGTGTGTGAAAATAGGAGTGGTTCCTGGGGCACCTAGATGTCAATTTCTCTGCCCAGGATAGGTAGGTACACCTGACCCTCCTTTGTGAGATGATTAAACTGCCAATCTCTTTTCTCAACAGAGAATAGGTGCCAATTTTTTAAATTATGGAGCAGCCATTGGTCACTTGGTAGAATCTGCCAGTGACTGATAGCGTACAATTACTTCACCACCTAACAGTCATTTCTGTCATTGAATCAAGGTCAACAGAAGGTTGGTAATCGAAAGGACCTTTTTATTATTATTATTATTTATTATCAGGACACAATATACTTCAGTTGTTTTCTGCACAGACTGTCCTATATCACAGTACAAAGTCATACTCTAACGCCTCCTTGGCACAGATTTTATAGTAATCTTTTCAATTCATATGTGCACAATATCTTTCAATTAAGTGGAAAAGGCATTATAGGATGTAGGAAATGTTTTTACTGTTTTATCAGTAACTGCCATAAAATTGTGTCATTGTTTTGTAGAGCATACGTCCTTCACCATAAATATGCCTTGCTGTGAAGAACTGTTATGTTACTGTTAACAGTAAACTTTCAGAAATAAATATTCGTCACTTTTCGTTATTTTTGTGGAGAAAGCATACAGTATGTTTTGTGTGTGTGTATATATATATGTGTGTGTGTGTGTGTGTGTGTGTGTAAATGACAAAAGTACGGTGCAGTAAAATATGTGTGAATGGCGACCTCTAGTGCAGTTGTTTTTTTCCCTTAGATCTCAGCATGGTGTAATTCTCTGCACATATCGGGTCCAAAGCGGAGTGTTTCATTACCTATCTTAAGGAACACTTTTTCATTCCACGTGTGAGTTGTCTTAGATGAATCCAGGAAAAATTAATGAAATCTATCACATTGGACCATATAAATTTTTCTTGACCCAAATGTGACACCAAGATGTAGTACCTTAAAATTGTCTGTCTCCTTTCATAGAGCCACCACAGTTACCATTGTGCAATGCAAAGGGGAAACTACCAGCGCAGGATGTGGTAGAAGTGAATTGGAAAAGACAGGCATGTTCTGACAATGGAGACACTAGGGTATTTTTAAAACATGAATGTGAAAGAGGAACAGTACAAACTAGTGTAAAGATGTGGCGTTTATGGGCTATGGGGAACCAGTGAAAGCAGATACTAATTATTATATCAAAATTGCATTTAATGGTTTGATAGAGGGATTAATCCAATATTAAACTGTAATAATTAGCACTGAAAAGCAGGTACAGTATCTCTTTCTGAATGCAGAGGAAGGGTTACACAAATGCACTGCTGCAGAAATAGTTGCCGTGCTCTGTGTATCGCTGTTTCCTTGGGACATTAATAACAAGGCATTTAAATTGCCAAAATACTTTTAAATAATAAGCATACTATAAAAATAAAAACGACAAAAAATACACAAAAAAAGAAATAAAAAAATATATAAATTAAATAAAAGACAAAAAAATGAAAGGGTAGATAGATAGACAGACAGACAGACAGACAGACAATCAGACAAAAGCAGACAGACAGACACATTTAAAAAGTAAAAAAAAAAAAGAAAACATAAATGCAGCCTCAAAAGGGTGCAATGATTGCACCCTTTTGAGGCTGCATTTATGTTTTTTTTTTTTTGTTTTTTTGCAATCCAGTGTCCTATTTGTGCCGGTCCCAAGTCTGGGTAAATGCAGAGGGTAGAGCATCAAACATGAAACCTGTAAGGCAAATCAAATGGATCAAATGAGAAGATAGAGATATGGATAGGGGGACTGATATGACGACAGCATAGTTAGTATAGTTTTCTTTGCATAGATGATTAGAGAAGCTCACCCACACTCGCCCCCCCCAATATTCTACATGCACCCCCTACTGGGGCTGGCTAAATCCGGCCCTGAACCTAACCTATTAAAAAATATGCTTACATTCTTTTGAGGAAATTAATGTTATCATTTGCATATCCTTTTAACATATGTCAAAACATATGTTTTTAATAGAGAATACATTAATCCATCCATTATACCTTCAATAACCACTTATATAGGACAGGGTCATACAGAGAAGCTGTGTAGCCAAAAATACAATTTCTTTTGGTCTGGCATTTGCTTTCAATGTTCATTAATAAAGGTCTTATACTGTAGGACTTATACTCAGTTTGCTGTGTTCTAAAGTCTAGCCTGGGAAGGCTGGGTATTGTGGCAGGCTACACTCCATCATGGGGGATTTCATGCATATTTATTTATTCATAATTTTCAAATAAATTCCAAACACAAGAAAGAAAGGAAACATCACAGGTCTGCTATGCCCTGTGTTACCTTAGTCAGTAATTAAATTCTAATATAGACTGATTTGCAAAAGTGTCCAGTATTCAAATGTTGTTGCTTTACAAATGATAGGCACACCTTTGTCTTGTTATCTTAATTATAATTTTTTTTTGATGTTGTCAAATAGAAAATATTTAAAGCCATACGACTACATACATGAAAAGCAAAGTGTCATACCTCAGACAAGCAGCAGTCAGCGCTAACGAGACATAGGTCTTGGGGAGTCCCCTCCGAATCCCTAGGAAGTGATGTCATTGCCTTCCAAGCAAGCATTAATGAATTTAGGAAATAACCTATAACTCTTGGAGATAACTACTTAAGCCCAACTGTAATATTCTACATATATAGGTATTTAGACCATGTGCTCTGTAGTACAGAAGGGCAATTAATTAGTAGGAAGAAACCTTGGGAGAAACCAGACTCAAAGGGGAGCCCATCCTCCCTGGGTTGCAGAGGAAGTCAAATTAGCAAGATGGCAAAATCCTTATTTGCACTCCAAATATTAACATACAGATGTTCACCTGTCGGCTGAAGCACTATTTATTTATTTATTTATTTTTAATGCTGTACTATATACAAATATTTTACAAGCACATCTTAGGATATAGTTCACTGTGACAGTACAAATGGTAGAAGAAAACTAAAACAACAGAAAAAGGAATACAATACAATGCTTGAGGAAGAACATGGGAGAGGTGAATAACAAAAAAAAATTATACATTGCATAAATTAAAGTCACTGTGAAAAGGAGGCAGGGTTGTGCATGCTGGCTTCTTGATAACTGAACCTAACTTCTGTTGCTGGAATGGCAAAGACTAGCCCACCACAGGTGATCTGTCAGAATCACAGGGTCCCAGGGTCCGATTTTAAATTCTTTATTGAAGAATTGTCACTTCTCTACAATCTTCCAGTTACTGGATTACTCCAATGTACAGGCTTGACTATAGGTGTGGTTTTGTATAAGCAATAAGCAGTAGTAACATGAATAGGTAGTTTGAGCTCTTACTGTATATGCAACATATTATAAT